CCCTGTGACCCTCTGTCACCTGAGCCCCGCTGCCCTGTGACCCTCTGTCACCTGAGCCCTGCCTCCCTGTGACCCTCTGTCACCTGAGTCCCCACCTCCCCCCACCTTTCTTAATCAAGACATCGTGTTGTTTATTATTTTGACCGTAACTTTTATGTCTGGTTGCTCCAGGAAAGTGAAGCCCCAAGCGAACAAGATCTACCTCCAGGTCCGGAGCGCAGACCCTGCGGGCCCCTGAGGCTCCGTGGGACCCAGTGCGGAGGTGGGGGCGGGACTGACGCCGGGCGCCCGCGCCGCCACCCCACCGCCGCCCCTGGATCGGAGCGGTCCGGCCAGCACCGGCCAGCACCGAGAGCCTTTGCTTGCGCTCAGCCCTGAAGCCCGGCGGTCTTCTCTCCAGTGAGGGCGATGCGGGCGACCGGGCACATTCTGGAGTCTCTGGAGGAGTCACTTGAATTTAAATATGATTATAACGAGGCCAGTGCAGCAGGTTTATCATTTTAAACTTCAGTCAGCTTTACTAATTCGCCGTGCACTTACAAAGCCTGTACTTGGGGAACGGGGCTCACTCCCGCCCGCCCGATGCTCCTCCCCACCCCGGCGCCCCGCCCCCACCTTGACCTCCAAGCACGCAGTAGCCACAGCTTCTAGAGCTCCTTTTGTTGTGTTTTGCTAGTCTGTTTCTAGAATAATTATTGTTTTACTTCTCATAAAGAAAACGCCTTTGTGCAGGACTTTATGTCGGCAAAGTTATTTCAACATGTAGCTTTCTCAGCGCCACTTGGCTCGCAAGTATGGCGACGATTCCACAAGTGGCATCGCCGTGGCATCCACACGTGGCATCCACACGTGGCATCCACACGCCGCCGAATAAAACATGGCCTTCCTGTGGATCGGGGCTCCGCGGGGCTATTTTGGAAGGAAGCTCCGGCCACCTGTTTCCCAGTCACGTGCTGCTATATTACTGTTTTGGTTCTTGTTGGAGAGTCTACAGGTGACCTCATCTTACACCCCAAAATATCGAGTGAGTTCAGCTTACCTTGGGGCGCACACAGCCCTCAGGGGTCGCACTGGGTGTCGGGCAGATGAGGCGGTCAGGCTTTCACACTCTGGCCTCTGCGGCCATCACCTGCGGCCTCGACGGTGTGAACGCGGAGGGCGTGTGGGTGTGGGCAGCGTGTCTGACCGGACACCTGCGTGTGTGCGTGCACACCTGAGGTCAGGGACATGAGGGTGGCGTTTCCCAGAAACGGCGGCCCCGAGAGCGCGCCAGAGGGAGCCCAGCGGAGGGCGTGTGGAGATTCGCTCGCAGGGCCCGAGCTGCCGCCCCCTCGCACCTGTTCCCCATCAAACCCCGTGGCGCACCCCGAGGGCGCCAAGGTTCTCGCCTGCACTGCTGGAGCCTGGGTGAGCTGCCCCGCGGGGAGGACGCAGAGCCCGGGGCCGCGGGCCGTGGCTTTGATGTTCCTTTGCCCGTGGGGCCAGCGGCGAGGTGGCCCCAGTGTGGCACACGAGCTGCTTCCTGCGCACCCTGGAGCCGCCGTGGGGCCTGGGCCTGGGCCGGTGACACGCCTGCTGGCCTGTGGCCACACCGAGGACGCACCTCGGGCGTCCTCGGAGAGTGGACGTGGCTTCTGGGGCCTGCAGCAGGAAACGAGGGCCCATGCGGCCTCTGTCCCCACGCCCCGCCTCACAGGGTGACCTCAACGCTCAGCGTCCTCTGCCCGACCGGCCACCGCTGGGCGTCCCCTTTTAGCTGGGGCTCCGTCTTCTTTCAAACTTGCCCTCTAGTCTCGGGCTCCCCTGGCACAGCTTTGGAGGAGGACTTTCAGCAAAGGCGGGCAAGAGCCCCTGACCCGCCAGGGGCTCTGGGAGGCCTGGGGACACTGGCTGGTGCGGGTCCCCCAAGGGTGGGCAAAGCGCGAGAGCGCGAGAGCAGTTGGCCCGGCAGGGAGAAGGCGGCTGCTGCGCTCTCCCGGGAGGGCGGCGGGGTGGCGGCCACTGTGAGTGTGGAGTGTGGTGGCAGGGAGGGCGTTGGAGAGACCCAAGCTGCCCCGCGGGTGACCTGGGCATCCTGCACGCTTGCCTTCCTCACTGCGGGCTTAAGTCAGCTCTGCCCTGCCCTCCTGCTGCCGGCCCTGTGGCCTGGCACTCCTAGGTGCCCGGCGCTGGGCTGCGAGGCGTGAGTGTGCGGTGTGGGTGCCAGGGAGCACGTGTGTGCCCGGGGTGTGGGTGAGAGGGGCCCTTGGCTGTGGCGCGAGGCCTGTGTCACTGCGAGGCCACCGGGCCGAGTGGCCGTCTCTCCGCTTGCCGGTCTGTCCCTGTGCCAGTGCTAAAGTCAGTGAGATGATACTGATTTTGCCTTTGAGACTAGAGCCTAGCCGGCCTGGGGTGGTTGCACAGCACTCACTGTGACCACAAAGGGCCCCCCAGACAGAGTGGGGTGCAGTGGTGCCTGCCAGGGCAGAGGGAGTGGTCCCGGCAGCTAAATACTCGGCCTGCAGCAGCGAGCTGAGTGGGCACGTGAGTGCTGAGTGCCCGCCGCGGCCTAGACCCTCGATTCTCAGGAAGCCGCTGTCGGTGGGGGCTGCTGGGTTGAGGGCTCACAGCGGCCAGCTAGGCTGAGGCTGGTGAGCACAGGCGGGCAGCATGGCCACCCCTGACACAGGTGGGGCTGGGAAGGCCCCCCCCCCGCCCAACCCTGCCTTTGGTGCCCAGATGCAATGTGCCACAGTTTCTCCCCGGGGGCTTCAGAGTCAGCTGAGGTGGGAGTAGGGAACCCCCCTCTGGGCAG